AAAAAAAAAAAAAAAAAAAAAAAAAAAAAAAAAATCACCATAGGAGCTAAACAACATATTGTAAAGGGAAATAACAGAAGAGCTGATGAACTTGAGAAAAGATCAACATAAATTATTCAAACCTGTAGGACAATATCTACAGGTTCTACAGGTTTAAAACACGTGTAACTGGAGTCCTAAAAGGAGAGAAGAAAGGATAGAGAAAAAGATTTTTAAAAAAATGACCAAAAATTCCTCAAATTTGCATAAAAAGAGATTTCTTAAACACTACATTGAGGGTATAAGTTGAATTAAAAAACAATTTGGGGCCAGCCTGGTGGCTCACTCGGGAGAGTGTGGTGCTGATAACACCAAGGCCCCGGGTTCGGATCCCATATAGGGATGGCCGGTTCGCTCACTGGCTGGGCGTGGTGCTGACAACACCAAGTCAAGGGTTAAGATCCCCTTACCGGTCATCTTTTAAAAAAATAAAATAAATAAATAAATAAATTGGCAATGTGAATCAAGATTCACATACACTTTGAAGTAGAATTCCACTTACAAGAATCTATACCAAGGAAATAAAGAGAAAGTAAAAAATTTATTTAGAAAAATGTTCTTCAAGGCATAATTTATAATAGCAAAGCCCTATATTAAAATAAATAAATTGGAAATGTGAATCAAGATTCACATACACTTTGAAGTAGAATTCCACTTACAAGAATCTATACCAAGGAAATAAAGAGAAAGAAAAAATTTATTTAGAAAAATGTTCTTCAAGGCATAATTTATAATAGCAAAGCCCTATATTACCCAGCAGCGGGCTAATAGATAAATATTAAGGCACAGTTGCCACATGATAAATATTTGTTGAATAAATTAATGTTTTTTACAAAGTATTTAATAAGATCAGAAAATAAGATATAGTGAAAAAAGTAACAAATAAAATTCTGTATAAGCATAATCCTTTTATTCAATACAAAATATCATACAAAGAAAAGTAGGAGAAAAGGGCTCAAAGAGTGATAGGATTATGAATAATTTTTATTTTCTTCTTCATACTGTTCCATACCTCTCAAAATTTATTAATGAGAATGTATTTGTATGGTCAGAAAACTGTATTAACTGATATACAGCCATAAACCAAACATATTCTAAATCTTGATATCCTTAATATTCTTGCCTTTAGGTTTACCTTGGTCCAGAGTCACTTCCATTCATATCCAGATCGAGCTCTTGGGGTTTAGTAAATTCTTTGTCAGCAACCCGTTCTCTTGACTTAAATACAGCTTGAGTTCTTAACCTGTAAAAATAAATTTAGAAAATTTATAATTCTGTGGAGCCTGAAAAACTGAATGATAATCCTTGGAAAACCATGCTCTTTTAGCTAGACAACAGTAATTATTCTCAGATTAAAACTCAATCTGTCAAAAATAAATAAGTAATTCCTAAATACACTAAAGAAACACAAATCAGTTTCATAGGAATTTAAATTTTCTTTTTTTATAGGGGAGTAGGGGAAGATTGAGTTGGTTAGAATATTATTTAAAAATTCAAAATTATAGCTGTTTTAGGAGCACTTTTAGTCTCTTCTCCAGAAATTAAAGCTTCCCCTCTATTCATTGCTAAGCAAGTGTACTTTGATTACCAGTGTCTAAATCAGAATTCTAGTAACTCTAAGTATTACTGACCCTGCCCAATATATACATGGGAGGCACCCACATCTCACATTGACATTTAAAAGAGCTGGAGTGACAGCTTAACAACCTACATTTTTTTCTCTAGGTCTCAGATAAATTTCCCCCAAAGAACTGGAATACAGTCTATCCATCAATGCTAATTTTGCTCCATACTCACATGTACTGAGTAGGGAAGGCCACTGAAGAAAATGAGCCAAAGATCTTCAACTGGGAGTCTGGGTGTCAATCACTGGTACCAAATATGTGACACTACCCATTCCCTCAGTTTTTTAGAAAGTTCTCTGGTTATCTGTAAAAGTATGTTCTTTAACTATAAAATCAAACCATGAAGAGGTAAAAACACTGTTAACACAATATCATCATTTTCCTTGTCAAACGACATTCTAATAATTGCAGCTAACTATGCATGGTGATATACAAAGAGAAGTATGTAGATTAATTACCCTGAGGAACTTAGAGTTTAAGGCTAATATTTGATAGTGGCAATATAGGTAGGTAGGTAATGCAGATGCAGAATGTTAAAATCAGGCAATTATGAGAACGAAGTTAAAAATAATAGCAATAGTAGCAATCAGAGCAGCGTCTGCAGTAGTAGTAGAAATAATGATTTTGATGATGATAGCAGCTACCATTTAAGAAGTACATTTTATATATACTATTGCAGTGATACTCACAACCACTCTATGAAGTAGTTACTTTTATTATACATATTTGCAGATGACTTAAGTGAGGCACAGGCACTTAACTCACCCAAGGTGACACACTCTTAAGTGGTGAAGGCAGTATTTTTATGATAGTTATATATAGAATACATGTATTAAGGCATATGGTAAGAGTGGTACGCAAAGGTAAATATTTATAATTAGCCTTGATTTTTATTCATTACATATATACTACTTTGCACTAAAAAGGATTTAAGATGGTTCTTGGCACTGTCAAATAGTATTCTGGATAAATCTTCTTCGATCAAAATGAAAAGTGCTTACAAATACCCTTTTGAAAAATATTATTGACCATGATGTAATATCAAGGTGGCAGAATAAATCATTAATCACAAATTAAGTAAATGCCAATGTCATGTCAAATTTATTCCAAAATGATAGACTTATCCCCAAATTCTGAACTACTATAACAATTCTGTGCTACTCATTTGGTATTCAATTATGGATTGCCTTCACACTATTTTCCCTGGATATCCCACCACAAATAATGCCATGTGCATTATGGATATTAATTCATTTATTTAATTGAAGTGAGACTCTTTGGACCATTTAAATTCAGTACAGATATATAAATTAGAGAGTGAGATTATATATAATATACTGAGAGACAAGATCAGGTCTTGCTCATTTTGGTACTCCTCCTATACAGTTTTGTCCAGAGTAGGAGAATTATTAAATGTTTGCTGAAACAGGAGAACTAACCTGAATTACAGAGCTACATCAAACGCTAAACAATAAGATGCTAATATTGTATATATTCCATATATACCAGACATAAAAATTTTAAGTAGAGGCATTTTAACTGTGCTGTAATGAATAGATAGGGTGTAGATAAATGGAAAAGAAAAAATATTTAAATCAGAGAAAAAGATATGGCTTGAGAAAGAAATATAAATGGTATATTGAGATGATCTCAAGAACACGAACGTGCCTTTCGGAAAAAATTATTTCTTAGGAAAAAGCGGGCAAAATGGGTAGAGAGGTGATCCCAGGTTAAAAAAATCTTTGAATACTAGGTAGAATAAACATAGTCTAATAGGAAATAACTATGAGTTTTAGAAATTCAGAAGTGGTACAATAAAAGTAATGTTTTAGGAGGATTCATTTGAGACAGATATTATTGGTATATGATACTAATGTGCAGTAAGTTGAATATCAAATAACTCATAAGTGATAAAATTACATAATCTAAAAAGTAAGCCAGAGAACAGGGTAACTATCAACCTAGTAATATGAATTGTGATACTGATTAGTTAAATGGATAGATTTAGGCTTCTAAGTCTGGGTTGCACCACCTAACTATGGTAAACCATGGTGGAAGTAAGCAAGAGAATGAGAGGTAGAAGCTGTTCAATTAAAAATGTCTTGAGCCTGTTTACCTGGGCATCTCATTTAGATTTTTTTATCTTCTTGACTAGAAAGAATTTTGCTTTAGGTCTATACAAGGACGAATGAAATAGAAGACTTCTGAGGGCCGGGACTCACAAACAGTCACAAAGGCCCTCTTTAAAAGATGACTAAAACACCAGAAACCAGCCTGACCAGTTCTAAAGGCGGCCAGTGTTACAGCTGGGTACTGTCTGATGGTTTGTATGTATTTAGTTCACAAAGGTTACGCAGGAAGACTGACAATGCCCCAAAGTAAAACACAGGGTTTCCTAAAGACAGAAAGCAAATAACTCCTTCCAAGGCTAATACTCATCTATCCAAAAGATTGCATTAAAGTCAAATGATAACCATTTTCAAGGAGGAGAACTTTGCACACAAGAAACAAACATGGTTGAAAGAACGACAGGACCTGAGCTGACAGTTCACCGGAGAAATTCTGCTTTATTTGAGGGTGAAGCATACATTTATAGAGAGCTGAGTTCCGGGAGAGGGTGGTTAGTACGTGGGGTGTTGGCTGATTGGTCGGAAGGGCGGGTGATGATTTTGATAGGCCACACTTTGGCGCCGGAGGGAATGTTAGGACCCGGAAGAGAAGCCGGAAAGGCGCTATGTTTTAGGGAATGTCTCCTTTGGGGTTTTATGGGGCCCTACATTCCTCCCTTTATCCTCTATTGGGGGGTAAGGTCGTTGAGGTCTTCGAGCTACTTCCTGCTGGAGAGGGACGTTGAGGGGGGAGGAACAGGGAGGAGAANGGAGTAGAATGTGGACGGTCTGGTGTGACGAGGGAGTATTTAGGGGTCCACTGAGGACCTGCAGGACGTAGTGGGGCATACTGCTGCTGTTAGGGCTGGATGCCGGAGGGGTAGTCCTAGTTTAAAATGGCACCTCTAAAGGGAGACTTAACATTTGGATGAGCCGGTGGTGGGTGCGGAAAGCCAGCGCTGGAGAAAATGGACGAGGGTGAAGCGTCAGCAGCAGGAACCACCGAGAGAGTGAAGGAGGTCCGAGAAGGAGTCCCCTCGGGTAAGGGGTGAGCTCCTCCCGGGTTTCGGCACCAATGAAAGAACAACAGGACCCAAGCTGACAGCTCACCGGAGAAGTTCCGCTCTATTTGAGGGTGAAGCATACATTTATAGAGAGCTGAGTTCCGGGAGAGGGTGGTTAGTACGCGGGGCAGTGGCTGACTGGTCGGAAGGGCGGGTGATGATTTTGATAGGCCATACTTTGGCGCCAGCAGGAATGTTAAGACCCGGAAGAGAAGCCGGAAAGGTGCCATGTTTTAGGGAATGTCTCCTTTGGGGTTTTATGGGGCCCTACAATGGTGAATTTAAAAAAAAAATTAGCACAAAGAGATCTGGGTCTAAGAAAGAGTCCAAGCTATCTCAGGTGAATAGTTTTCAACATGTTATATGTTTTTAGAGTTGAAAAAATATAGCAACTTTCAGGAGTAATGACAGAAAACAGGCATTCTCTGCCTGTTACCAGACCTATGTTGTGGGCCTGTGGGCCTTCCTTTTTTTTTTTTTGCTTTGTGAAGTACTTTTGTTCGATCTACAAAAGTCTAATTTTTGAATCAAAAGTAATAAAATATAACCTGATGAAATTTAATTGAGATAGGTTCTTGGATGATTAAAACTGGAAGAAAACTAGAAATTATTTGAACTGTTGAACTTTCATGTATTTATTTGCTTTATACTACTTCTTAAAATCTCTAAGGACATTCACTTGTGGGGCAAAATGAAGTGGTGCAGTTCTCCCTACACCTGTAGAGCCCCAAATCCTAGACATTATCCTTGAAACAAACATAAGACAACTGAGAAAGGTAGGGAGAAAAGGCAGACTGGGACTAGAGGAATAAAAAGATGGTAAGTTTTCTGGGCTTTGTTTTCACCTCATATACCTTGGATGCTGGAGTAGTAGGCAACCTAGAAACTCCGAAGGCATAATGGAAAAAAAAGGCTGCTCCCTCTAGCCAAAGGAACAGGAAAGGGGCAGTCTACCAAGACATAAAACTTTAAGACAATAACTATCCTACTGTAGCCAAACACCACAGGAAAAAATGTGGCCTCACTTATCCCATTCCCACCAGCAAATGCCAAGTGGGAGGCTAGACTTCCATTCTCCACCAGCTCTAATGAGGCATCCCAAACCTGCTAGAGTGGTGTCAGAGAAGGATCCTGAGTTAGATGGTTAAAGCAAAAATTATAATATTTTCTGATGTGGTTCTCAATGTATGTAGAGGAACTCTTTGAGACAATTAGAAGCGGGGGAGAGTAAAGGGACTTAAAGGAAGGTGAAATTTCTATGCTTAAATTGGTTAAATAGGATACCTATAGACTATCATAAGTTATGTGTGTATAATGTAATACGTAAAGCAACCAATGAAACAAATCTGTCCAAAGAGATATACTCAGAAACGCTACAGATAAAATGGAATTATAAAAACTGTTCGAGTAACTCATAGGAAAGCAGAAGAAAGAAAACACAGAAAT